TGGCGATGGCCCTTGGTGCCTGGTCATAGCTCTTGCAGTTGACAGAGTATCTTGTCGAGAGGAGAGCTCAGTGAGAGAGTGATGACTATTGAAAGAGAGGTGGTATTTATATTTGGAGGACCTTTTTGCAGTCAGGTCAGAGGAGTACATGTTACATGTGGAGCCTGCCAGCCAATGGGCAAGTTATTATATTTGAGGGACTAGGTCCGTGCCAACAAGCACCAGTGAGGCAGGAGGGGCAAGACACAGATGTCTAAATACCTTGCTGGTCCCTTAAACCTCAGATCCGGTTGTACAAATAGTCAAATTAACTCAGTTCTTTGTGATAAATCAATCCCACCCCAGTCATAAACTGCAGCAATTCATGACACACACACACAGGTTTGTGCAAAGGTATGTTACTTTTTTGAGTCATATGCAACTGTATAGGTGGAGTTATTCATGCCTGAAGTACAAGGTGAACAGTTAACAGGATTTGGCCTCTGGGACAGTTGGACTCCAAAGACATGATTACCCAGACCTAGGACTGCTCTGCTGGGCTGAACCCAGAGCTCATCAGTCAGGGAAGGGGAGCTGTGGCCTCCACCCACACCTCCAGACCACACCTGACACCTCTCCTGTGCGTGCATGAGTGTGAAGGCACATAGGGGCAGGAAATGTAAACCAGGTAGGAAAGGCAAATTAGGCAGGGCCATTTTTACAAACACCATGAAGATACCCCAGCGCAGTGCATGGGAATTACCCAACATGCCTTGTTCTTGCACTGTTGCCCTGTACCGTCACGTAATTTTAGACAGAAGTACTGAGGTGGGAAACATCTTCTGGAGATTGTCACTGTTCAGCAGAATCCTAAGACATTAATATAGCAAGAAACTGGAAGACTAGAAGTTCAAGGATCTGACATACACAGCCACACACAAGCCACTGCTGTGCCTGATGCTCAGTATTGAGGTGGAGCGGTGAGACACAGGTTTGTATTTGACTCTAAAACTGTATCTTTCCAAAGTTACCAGAGCTGTATAACTAGACTAAATCCCCTTCCAGAGCATAGTACTAAGCTTCCTTGTCAGCTGGCAGCTGGGCAGGGAATCTAAGTCTACTTGGGTTATTTAAACTCATCATGTGAAGTTCCTTTCCACTCTTGGCTCTGTTCTGTGGAAGGGTTGTGCATGATGTACTCCTTTTAGATGGTCATCTTTTGGGGAGGGGGTGGGCCTTTGTTTTTTGAGCTGTTACTCAGAAGTGGCTTTCAAGCTCCATCACTGACTGCATTCAATCAGTTGCACAACAGTGCATGGTAGTGCAACCACAGGTGCCGGTGTGCCGGTACAGCAGCACCAGCTGAAGAGCCCACCAGCCTGCTCATGCTTATCCTGCCCCCACACCCTGCAGCCTCATTCCAGCCCTCACACTGCAGAGCTTCCACCTGCTCAGTATGCTGGGAAGTTAACAGGCTGGAGGATTTTCTCAGTTTTCTCCATAACTTGCTTTTACTTGGAAGAGCGTGACTTTTGCTAGTATGCCCTGGCAGCCCTGGGTAGCACTGTGTACCAGAACAACAAGCCAATGCTTCTGAATTATTTACTGCAACTCGCATGAACTTGCACTTCTCTTCGTTTTCTGCACAGTCACCATGATGCTTGTGGCTCCATGAATAAGCTGGAGGGACAGATGAAGTTGCTCTAGGTGATTATAACATACATCAAATCACTTATCCAGCTCTTTTTAGCAGCATTTAATTTCATTTTAGTTCATCAATGTGTAGCAGAACAATTCTGGAGGGGTTATTTAAAGATGCTCTGGAGAAGGCCATGGGCAGGCTGGGTGCAATAGAAAACAGATTGGAGGAACCAGTTAAGCATTTCTTTCCATGGATCCTGGGTTTCACATTCTGCCTTCAGTGGGTTTTGATGCTGAATAGAGCCATGCCTTGGGGAGAAAACAAGTGAGGAACTAGTTTTATACTACTGACCTGGTAACATATAGTTTGGTGGATTTACCGGTCATTAGCCACAACATGCTGGTGGGATTCAGGATGTTGGGTTCCATTTCTAGAGTTTCCTTTAACTGATGGGCTCATGCATTTCCTGGAGGCTTTCTGTAGCAACTCCCACCATCATTCCCTCCACTTTAATTAGTAGCAGAGATTATATTAGTGCAACCAGTTCAAGTATTCACCAAGATAACATCCATATGTACTCATAGCAGTCCAGGGGTTAAAGACAACACCTGCCAATCCCAGTGTTGCCACCAGCAGTTAACAAAATAATGTAATGAATATGGCACTGTGTAAATCAACCAAGATGAGCCAGAAACATCAGCAAATAGAAGGGACCCCTGGGGGAAGCTAAATGAAGGTTGCAGCTTTGAGTTTTTTCTTGCTACAGCCCTTTTGCCTGTTACAGAGTGTTGAGAAGTGAGGGGCTAGGGGTGGATTAGATACTCTTGAGAGCCTAAACATCAAAACCACCAGTGTCAGTGGTTTTGACTGTAGTGATGGCTGAACTCCACAACTGAATAGGTCCCTCTGAGCCCTGTATCAATAATTAATAGTTGATGGAGACTTGGAGGATCCTTACAGGACAATCACAGCTGAATGCATATGTACTGGACACCATGGGAAGTAGAGAGGAAATGTGTCCTTCACAGAGACACTGTTGCTAAACTCTCCTTCATTACTTTATGCAGGTGCAAAGAAAGTGTAAGGGCCTTGCAGGCACTCAGCACTTCCCTGAGTAGGGAGGCACGGAAATCGCTCGGCTCACTGCAGGCTTTCCCTGAGTGCCATCTTTGCAAGGTAAGATCCAGCCTGTTCCTGAAAGCTCCACAAATAGTATCTTGTCATGGAAGTTGCAACCAGTTGCTGCAGATATGGTGGCATTGCAGAGATTGGGGGTCAGGGTGAGGGGAGAGTGTGCCCTCAACCACTCGAGCATCTCCTCTGCCGTTCTTGCTGGGGTCATCCTAAAACAGTCCTGGTTTCCATCCCACATGGTGGCAGGAGGCAGAAGAGCCCCAATACCTCTCACTGATAGCGGCTGCTGCATGCCAATCAATAGCTCTTGCACAAAGCTGCCTTTATGGTACCAATAGTCACAGAGTCTTTTCCTGGTCACTACAGAAATCAGTGCTGATGGGAAAGGTTGGACTTTGTAGTGGCCTCCCTGCAGGAAGGGTTTTCTCCTCCATACTCTTTCAGATCAGCCAAGTGGAGTTACCTCTTGATGTGGCAGTTGTAGGAAGCTGTCCACTGGCCTGCCATCAACTGCAGAGGCAGACCCAGCCTGTACCCTGCAAACACAACCTGCTGAATTCTACTCTGAGAGCACGGACTCAGCTAAGAGCACACTTGCCCTGCAGGAGATGCCAAAGGCCGAGGAGTGGCTAGGTTAGCACAGAGCATCTTGGGTTTTATTCTCTGGTCAGCTGAAGCCTTGAGAAGTGGCTATTAACATAGTAGGTGCATGAGCCTTGGCACACAGGAGGGAGGAGAAGGACACAAAGTCGCTAGCCCTTCATGAAAAAAGACCATTCCTTTCTTCACACAGTTCTGTTGTGACTTGGCTGAACAGATCATAAAAACCTCTCCCCATCTCACCAGTGTCACAGTAGGGCATAAAGCAATAGGGAGCCCTGAAGACAGACCATTAATGAAGGAAGTATCTAACATCCTAAGCCAAAGCTATGATTTGTACCCACTGAAGTGGACAAAAGTATCTCATCTCTCTCCACATCCCCAAAAGAAAGCTAACACAAGGGGGTCAAAGGGGTTGAGAATCAGGGAGAAAAGTGGCTGTTTGGACTCAATTTTGACTTTGCACTAGAGCTTACTTGACTTTAGAATCATGTATCATGTCCTCTCTATGCCCAGCAAGACCTCAGTTATGTCTTCCATGTTGATATTCCTAACACACAAAATTGAGAAGGAAAGACAGGGACAAATCAGTTTAAAAAGAGCCTGATGCCCCTGAATTTGCACCCACATCTCTCTGCTAGGCAAATCAGGCTGTCTGGAAACTGAATGAGAGCGTGTTGCTCTACAACAGAAGGTCAGTAAGATAAAAATAACCCCCAAAAGCCTACATTCAGCTTGGAAGCACAGTGCTGAGCCAGGGCCAATAATAGGAAAACACAATAATTCCTCATAGCAGCCCTAGAATAAAGTATTATAAATGGGCAAATGGGTAGAAGGGATGGAGGACTATTTTATCACTATTCTAAAAGCACTCAGAGAAAATAAATTGGGATCCATTTATAGACAGTTCTCAAAAGCCAAAATGTGCTAAATATAAAGCTGAATTTCCCTAAACACAAAACGTATCAGCAAGAGCCTCTTGCCCAGCAACTTTTTAATATCTGTGCTTTTTTGCCCCCCTCCCCTTGCTTAGTCTTTGCCCCATGACGGTTATATGACTTTTTGGAGAACTTAATCAGGAGCCATTAGAGAGTCACTCTCAAAGTTGTATAATGTTAAAAGTCCATTAGCTCACCCCAAGCAAGGCTGGCAGGAGGGAGATGATGTACTTGCTGAAGATGAACAAGCTATTTGCATGCTGAATATTTCTAATCACTGAGCAATGGCAGGAGAATCTGAACCTTATCACACTCAGCTGCCCAGTGACCTTTTGAACACATTTACTTTAACACATAATAATGTGGCAAAACACATCCAGCAAACCTGCAAAAAGGGACAAATGGATGTTTTCAAGCAATTCTAGGCACCAACTATGTAGACATTCAGGAAAAAGAAATAGCAAAGTCTATCTTCCTTTTTCCCTCTGCCACATTTACTTGCATTATGCATGGTTGCTTGTATTATGCATGGGTTAATAAAATATGACAGATGTCTGCTTACTTTCAGCCTGATCACAATCAGCTTGATCCAGCAAAGCATGCACGCTTTGTTTCATGCGCATTTTCAAGTCCCAAAGGACTTTAGTGGGATTTGGGCCCTGCCCTGTGACCCTCCAGCCCCAGCCACCACCTCTGGGGCCCCTTCCGTTCAACTACACAGTTGCCATGAGCATTCATCACTACACAGCAAGCAGACTGGCGAGACACCTAAATAAACCTTCTTTACAGAAATGTTTTCAGAGGCTGCAGCTGAGTGGAGCCAGGTTGAAGCACCAGCCACAGCCTCAGGAGAGCAGAGCAATGCGACCTTCAGGAATCTCTGGCTTTTTAAGGCTTTTAAGTAGTCATTTTTCCCTGTATCCTCAGATTTACCTGAAAATTGTAACAACTGTTTGGAGACCACTAGCTACTGGTGGATGTTTCATACCAGGACAGCATCTTGCATGAAGCCAGCCACCCTGTACTTGTCTTAAGAGCACAGCGCACCCAGGGAGAGTTTGGGGATCATTTCATATGGCCCACTGTCCAGCAGAAGTTGAGCTGAGGGCACATCTCACACCAAGAGTGACTATTGTCTTTCAATGCCTGTTTCAGTCATCAAGCTGACAACTTCTAGCACGCGCAAGCTTGTCTTACAGCATCCTATATCCTCAATGAGAAGACCAAGAAGCGGAAGGGCACAGAGCTTGGGTGGCCCTGTTGAGCCCCAGAAGTGCTATAGCTACCAAAACAAGGCTGCTCTCTACTGGAACAATGTAATCAAGGGAAGTCTAAGAATTTAGATGAAAATTAGAGCTATTCCACAGTGACAAAAGGACAACAGAAAAAAACAAGACTGTTAAAAACCACATCTTTCAACAGGTTTGGGAACTGGCTTCTATTTTGGACAGTGGATGGTTAAAGTCCTGCTGGTATTTTGCTGAATCTCCTGCAGAGTGACTCTGATGCTCAGTTGTGGTTTTCTGGTTCGAGCACAAACCTTTCTCCAGGCTAGAGTACTAGAAAACATAGAGAAACTGATTTATCACAGCCAGCCAGAAGTGACTGAGGTTTCACATAACATGCTTGAAGGAGCAGAGACCGCAGGCTTTCACAAAGCTGTTGGGCTGTTCTTTCCTTCTGCTCTAATTTGCGTACCCCCCTCAACATAACACAGAGAATAACCCCCCCACTGGGTGGTGGTTTTGTCAGGTCTGGTGTCCCCCTGAAGAAGTGACACGTTCTTCAGGGTCTCCCAGAAGAAGTCACAACTGGAATCAGCCAAATGATTTGCTCCCCCCATTGTTCTAACAGCTAGAAGCCTTATGGAAAGAGCAAAGGCAAAAGCTTGTCCCAACAGTAGGACCACAGACAGGATGTCCAAAGAGGCTCACACTGAGAAATGGAGCCACTGAAGGGCACTGGTTCTTCCTTCCCACCTTTCTGATGCCTCAAGGCCAGACCCTCTTTGCTGGGATTCCCCTCCCTTTTAATAGTGTAGGAGGCAGTAACATGCAGACAAATAAAGAAGACCTCTGAATATTCTCACACATGCAGCCAGCTCCTCATTAATTGTCCCAGTCTTTCTGCAACACCCCCTGCCTACAGGGCATAGCTAATGTGCAAAAACAAAGTAAAATCTTATTCCCCATTGCATGAGTGCAGAACTGAAGCTCCCATTAAGACATGGGCTCACAGCACTGACTTGTCTCCTCTTGGTATCAGTAGGGAAGATGACTACATTGCTAGTTTAAAGCAAATCCCCTCTTATTGCAGTGTTTGTCATTGACCAAATCTTTAACCCCATGGGGTTGGGTGCTCTAAAGTGTTTTTGTGAAGAACTTTCAAGAACTCCCTACTAGGAAAAGCGCTGCAGTCCCCTTGAAACTTGCAGGTGGTAGTGAATAATAATAGGTCATTGATACCTAAACCTACTCACTACTTTGAAATCCCACATAGAGAGGTATGCATTTTGCAAGTCTCTCTCAGCATATACTCAAAGGCAAGAAAGGACAATAGGAGGGGAAGAAAATACAGGCTTCAGTGTTCTCTAAGATACAAAGCACACATCACCTCTCTGGCTGGCAACCTGCTTCATTAAATTGAGCTATAGTATGTGGAAAGGAGCAAACACTAGACTGAGATTCAAAACCTACTGGAGATTAGGATTCTGCCTCCTTGGAAGACAAACAGTTCAGACAGAAGATGTAACATTCTCCCAGACCTACCTGGGAAATTGCTTTCCAGTCCAGTAGAAAGCCAAGGCTCCTCTCCCCACAAAAAAACCCAACACACACATTTTCCTCATAATGCAGGAAGAACAAAATGGATACTTTTCAAAATGTTTTTTAATTAAAAACAAAAAAAAAGGAGCACACACCAGAGCTTGACATGGGCTAGCCAAACTGCTGGTCATCAGGACGTTGAACTGGCATGAGGAAGGCTGTGTTTCTGCATAACTCAAGAGCACTGGTAAACACTGAGACTCACGGGCAAGTACTCTGCCTGCCAGGATACTGCTGCTTTGTGCTGAGCAGATCTCTCTCATGTGGTGATGGGAAAACTTCATCCTGCAGCCCAGATTCTTTTGCCAACAAACAGAAGTCCCAGAGACTGGGGGAAAAACCATTTCAATGAATCTGCATTTTCCAAGCACTTCTGGAGGGGATTCCCAGTCCGTTCTTCTGCCTCCCCGGCAGGTTACACAGGCTTAAATGGAGACTCATCTTTGGCAACAGCCACAATGGTAGGACCAAGTTCTCGTTCCACTGAAGTCAATACATGTCCTCCCCTGGACCATAAGCACAGCTGCACCAGGGCTCAGGATCACTAGCCAGTTGTGCTTTAAAGTTAAATCCTCATCCACTTCATCTAGCCAGCAACTTCTGAGAGCTTCTTCAGGCTCATGGAAATGTGTACCAGTAAATTCAGGTAAATGTGAACATCCTGGCTACAGCAATGGGGTGAAGTTTTCAAATATGCCCAAGAGATGGAGAAGCCAAAAGTTTCATATTAAGACATGACTTGAGCACTAGATCAGGTATTGAAATCTCCCTGGCATCTAATAAAGCAGTTTCCAAAGCTGCTGGTGTGTTGCTCCACCAGCCTGGTTTCTTTACCAGAAAGGCTGGGCTAAAAAAGTGACACATTTTCCATACACAGTTTTTATCCATTAGAATTTACTAGATATGCGTCTCATTTGTCTGTCAAATATTTAAAAAATACTTCAACCTGCTCTAATAAGCACATTGTAAAACATGCATCAAGTTTGGATCAGAACAGCTTCTCTGGGATAATCAGTAAGCCCAAATTGCTGATTTAAGGCCTAAATATCAGTCACTGGCCAGCCAGCCACAACAGGTAACTCTATCCTTGAACTCTTGGAATTATTTTTGGCTCAGACTAACCCTTGCTACCATACATCTTATCCTACACACAAAAGGAAGGTGTATGTGTTTTTCAAGGCTACTGTTGCGCCACAAGTTTACACACAAGCACAACTTTTGCAAACTTAAGACCAAAGTAAGATCTCGTATATCCCAGGGCAAGTCAGGAAGTCCACAGGAGTCAAGGGAATGGTAACTGCCATAAGGGATCAGGCCTAATACATGCATTAGAGAAGCAAGGTAGCTCCTTTGATCAAGGTCTGGCTCATTCACTTTGCACATACCACTGCTTTAGCATCACATCCTTATCTAATGGTAAACCTGTTTCAACAACATGCAATACATATTAATGCAATATGCACTGCAACACACAATACGCATCCAAAGAAATATGCCAATGCAAAAATCTGACTTCTCACACATAGCAGGGCTAACAAGGAAGAGCCTTTTACAAAAAGACAATCAAGAAATCACCTAAAACCATGAGACCTGAGGGGCCTCAAGCAATCTGCAATACTGAGACCTAATAACAGATGCTAATTCATGAAAGAAACACAAACAGTGGGACTGAGGTAATGGCAGAGATTTCATTAGTGCAATTAACATTTATAATGGTTATGTTTTTTAATAGAATTTAAATAAGGCTTTGAATAATTACACACACTAAAACTAACATCCCATAACCTTATTTTGCATGGAAAAGCAGCAGAAACAACCCTCTGGACTGTACAAGGTCCAATTATGAACAATTACATTCAAAAAGTAGATCAAAACAGAAACAACTCATCCCCGCAAAAGCTGCATCATCATCTTTAAAGTCAACTTTCTCCCCTAGTGTGGGAAGTGTGAAGAACAGATGAACTGGGCTTCAGCCCAGTAGATTTGGCCTCGTCAAACTACCAGTAGCGCTTTCCAACCCAGAGTCTCTCTTTATTTCTTTAGGGTGATGGAAGCTCATGAGAAAAAAGTGAATTTCCAAAGCAACGGAAGGTGAGTTGCCCCTTCCCCAGGCCCAACGACGTACATAAATTATGGAAGTTTGAAAAAAAATGTACATTACACTGTGGCATGTGTGTTTACGGTGCATGTTGTCCTTTAGAAACTACTCACAGACAATGGGGCTGGGTGGGTGAAAAACAAAATCAAAGCAGCATATGAAATAGTAATATACTGTTTAAAAATCTGCACCGTCCTGCAGAACCAGGAATTATAATTTATTCAGATTGTTCTCAACAGATCCAATTTATGCTGGATATGTAAAAAACAAGAGACTAAGTCATCAAGGAAAACCAAATGGAAAAATCTGCACACTGCAAGAGTTTTTAAAAATGAAGGGAAAAAAAAAAAAAGGGCCAAAATAATCCCAGGACACATTGATGAAAGCTCAGAAAAATTTATCATCAATTCTGAAGTGGGGCCTTGTGACATCATCTGGGTTAATGAAGACAGAGATGGACTTCCCGGGATTCTCAGTCACTAGCTGTTGCAACTTTTTGGCTAATCGGTCATCAGGCTGGTTGATGTCCCCTCCATCTGACTGTGGGGAGGGGATGCTGGTGGTGCTGCCCCGCCGTTGGAGCTCTAGTGTTAACCGGTTGGCTGCTTTGACATGTTCAATGGCAGTTCGAAGGTGTTCGGCAGGGTCTGAGCGCACTGAGGACAGCTTCCGCGCATGCAGCATGACTGTTTCTTCAGAGAGGTGCTCCAGCATATTGCACTGAGGGATGAAATAGTTAGGGCACATCTTGTTGACCAAGCAGTGCTGGAGATCATCAATGAGACCCAGGAGGAAATGGGCTGCGTAATCCTCTTGGGCTAAGTAACTGGCTGGTAGCCTGTCACAAGCCCACAGCATCATGCTCCGCAAGTGATAAGGACTAATGGCTTTGGGGCGGGACAGCAATTTGATGATGATAGCTTTGCAGGCCTGATAGGCTTGCATGAGGCTGCTGGAGATACACTTTTTCAGCTGCACTTCACTTCTGGCAAATGAAAGCCTCCATTCATTGTCCTTCTTCCCCTTGTAGGAACATGCAGGCACTAAGTAAAACCCACTTATGACTTCCTCCTCTGTGATCTTCCCATCCCAGAAGTGGTTCTCCATCAGCCAGCTCTGAGCCACTGCTGGCCAGCCTTTGAAGGACACCACAGGGACAATGTCGTACAGCATGCGGCTGCTGCCCACTCCCAAAATGATGGATATAATAGTCCCATTCTTTTCTACCTTCTCTACCTTTGGCATCCCTCGCTGGGGCTTTTTCTGGATCTCAGAGAGGACAATGCTAATGGAGTCATAGAACCAGTCTGCCACTTTTGTTGGAGAGAAGAAATAATTGGTAGCTCCATTGATATGATCCACTATTGTGCAGCAGTCCTTCCATTTGCTGATAGTTCCTTCATCAAACAGACGCAGGCTCAGCCAGGAGTGGCATAAAGCCGAGTGGCGCATGTCCAGTGTAACTGGTTGGTTGCGGTCATGCAGCTTCAGTGCGGGCACAAGCAGGGTGAAGTCCATGTCATAGTCTGTGCCTCGTGCATAAACATTCAGCTCATCGAGATCAATATCCACCACACCTTCTCGCACACCTCCTGAGAGCAGCAGGTACTCATTGGCTACAGGCAGCTTCTGGTCAAGTTTCTGAACCATGCCTGCAAAAGAAAGAGAAGTTCTTTCAAGAGAAGGCAAACAGACCTGGATTTACAGGATTTAACCAGGATGAAAACCTATCCCATACTCAGCAGATAAAAAAGCAACCAGAGGTATCCATCAATGTTTGAGTGACACAAACGTATACCACATGCAGCACTCAGGCAACCTTAAGCCCCACCTGACTCAGGGCAGAGCCTCCCCTACATTCCTGGGTACAGGTGAATGCCATCCTAAACATCATACTGGAAGCAATGGAAAAAAGCAGAAGCCTCTAGTAAAATACAGCAAAGCTACTTTGAGAACTAAATTTATTGTCTTAAATACTTTCTAAACCAGTTTTCCCACCATATTGTCATTCATTTCCACGGTATCCAAATGCTTCCCCAACACTTCAAAAAGAAAAGAGATTATTAATTGACACTATGATCTTATTTCAATCTGGTATAAGGAAAAAGCTAGACTGGCATCAGGGGGTTGGTTTGTACATGAGCAAATGTTAATTCAAGCAGGTCTGATTTTACAATTTGCTTTACATTTACTGATGAACAAGGCAATATGAATAAAGGTGCTATATCCCCCTCTTAGGGGAGATGGAGACTAAACTACCAGGCAATTACAGAAGCCAGCTCTGAAACTGGTTCTTCAAGCTGTAATATGGTATCATGCCATAAAATATCTGATCAGCTCCCCAGAGCACAGACATGAAGACAGATTTCCAATTTCGTCACCAAAACCAGACGCTTTCCTTCACCCTGCACTGCCCGCACTAGTTGTACAAAGCCATTTTTTCACTGTGTGTTCTATATATACCACTATACTCTGCTCACAGAACACGAACAGCAGACTGAGAAGAGACTCTTCACAGTAGCTGAGATATTAGCTCCTCATTCAATGTTCAAATTAGTCTTAAAATTGAGCTTTTCACTTCAGCTGCTTGGTACTCTGATTCTGCTGTTCTGGGCTGTTTCGCTACTGGTGTTTGTCTTGTGGTTAAATGCTCTTAATGCTTTTGCTGCCTCAGTTCAGACAACACACCTAAGCCACGAGGAAACCAAGGCCAGTGACTACAAATGGAGATGCTGAATCTCTTGCAAGCACTGCAAAAGGGATATATCGTTTCTTCCAAGCACAGATGATACGATTTTTGTTGGCAGACATTACATACTCTAGCTTTCTAAAGGCACTCCAGTTTGTTTATATGAAGAGTGGTTAAATGGGACCTTCCATTACAAGGAAGCCAGTCTTAGAGAGACATTAGTGGGAATAACAAGCCAGAGGCATGCTGAGGTGAGCCAGAAAACTGCCAATCACATTGTCAGCCCAGGAACTACTGACAGACACTTTAGGGGTATTTTTTAACTGAAACACTAACACAAATGATCAGCACTAGAGTCTGAGCACCCATCTTGGCTTAGCTCCATTAATGCAAAACTTTTCCTGCATTAATGCATCCCTACGCAATCACAGATACTGCCTGAACTGAGCAGGTCTCTGTAGCAGAGTGCAGCAGCAGTACCCCAAGGCATGAAGTGTTGTACTAGGCTGAGTAGCACTGCAGTGATTTCAGAGACTCATCTTTCCATTCCTGTATGCTAGGACAGAGGCAAGGAAATGCCATCTGCATGCACACAGGTAAGCCATGACCAGAGCAAAATCTAAAGCTATGTTGACACTGATTCCTTGGAATAGCCAAGGAGACTTTAGCAAGAGGCCAGCGTGTGAAGCAGAATGTGTCTTGGGGCAATATTCAGGGTAACCATGCAATCCCCCATTTGAAATTCCTTGCAAAATACACTTTAGCTATTTCATTGATTCCACAAGTACTGGACCCAGTCCATTTTGCTGCACTGAGCTGGGATTAAATTCCTGCCAGGCAGGCAAGTACATAACCCTTTCCATTTCATGTGGCTCCAGAGGCAGCAAAAGAAGAAAACAGCTCTGGAGGAATGCTAAGAAACTCTTCCTGCTAAGTCCTGAGCTAATACCTCTCTGTGATCTTGCCACATGCTGCCCCATTCAACCTTAAAGGGTAATAACCAAGAAAAGCTTTTGTCAACTTCAAAAACATTTTCTGGTGCTTAGATACGCAGTGAGCTATGTTACCCTGATCACGGAGTGGCAAAGCCTTGTACAGGGTTCTCCATCCCTCAGGCCAAATAAGCAGCACTCCCTTCTTCACTATACCCAGAAAAGGATTTCTAATCAGTGCCTACAGTGACACGACTTCTGGAGACAACTACTGACACACTGCTTCCAAATCCTGCCCTTGAACCAGTGCAAGCAGCCTTGGTGCTTTACACCGAAGTTGTAAACTGAGTCCAAGATCCACAAAGTAGAATGTAGGTCAATCACATCACAGGGACAGGGAGCAGTTACTTTCTTCTGAGCATATACGTCAGTATCAACCCTTGCTGTGGGGCAGCATAACTACTATCCTGATGGCCCATCCTGCCTCTACACTAACCCAAAATTTTCCACTCAGGATGGTAATCTGCAGCATCTGTCATGCACATCTGCAGGTGCTCCTGAGAGAGGCAGACAGAATGTAACTCTCCTACAGGAGAAACTGTTCAAACCTACCAAATTCAATAAAGGGTGCATTTTTCTAAATATTTTTAAGCTTGAAGGATGAAAAATGTCCTGTGAAGTTCTGCAGTGTACCTTTTGCATCACAACTTCTATCCTACGGTACAGCCAGAGCATATGACTGAAAAAGAAAATATTTTTCTAAAAGGTAGAGATTCTCCCTCGGAATCTACTCTGGGATGAGTTGCTCTCCTTGGCTTGAAGAAACCCTCTGTCATCATGTGTGAGCAATATTGTTGACAGACTGACCCCATTCAATCCACAGAAAGTGGAACTCAAACCCTGCTTTCTAAATGTCCCATATCCATCTGGCTGGAAAACAACAGATCAGTCTCCAAAGCCAGACAGGACAGGAGCCATTCCTGCAGTGTTAGTTCTATGCCACCTTACAGCACTCTCACCTTCACTAACACAAAGCAAAGTTTGCACTGGGTAAAGCCTGCATAGCTGGCTCTACTGCCAGAGTGGTTACAAAATGCCAGGTAGAAAAGAGGAGACTTCTGCTCCTGGTGGGTAGGTAACATTCCAGGAAGAACCATCCTGTAAAGTCAGAGGCACAGCTCTCCAAGCACTGTCATGGAGGTAGTCCCAACAGAAGAGATACTTCTCTTCCCTGTAGCAGAGAAACCACCAGTTTCAAGCATCCTTGCAATAAGAAATGCCTTCTGCCCACAGAACACTCTTCACACTTCCTATAGAAAGAAAACACTTTGTGTGCTCACTGTTAAGCCTAGTTTGCAAGGTTGAAGACTCCTGAAAGGGAAAGGTGCCACATGCTGCCAATTAAATCCCTTGTTTTAACCCCCTCCATAACTCTAGACCTACCAGCAGAGGAGGCTGTAGCAATGGCTACAGGAAATGACCTTATATATCATTAATGTTTCTATACCTGTCTGGCTACAGAGTTTAAAGCCTTAAGCTCTGCCTAGCACAGAATTTCCCCTTTAAGGGCCAGACCAGCAACATCTGCAGCTCTGCCACAGAGCTAGAAGGAATTTCTGCTAACAGATCATAGCAGCACTGCTGATCCAAATGAAGCTGTGGAGCAGGGGATTGAGATGAGGTTCCCTTGAGGAAAATATATTTAGAATAGGCACAGAGTGTTCTATAAATACTTGAGATGGCCAAATTCAGGTTTCACTAAGGCTTTAGGGGTTTGCAATGTGTTCAAACTGCCCCCCTTATACATAAACCTATTAGAAATGTGAATGGATTTCAAGGAAACCCGTTAACCAACATTTTATGGCATACGCTACCCTGGCACAAAGCTTTCATCCTTAGTTTCAACAGCCCAAGTGCAAGCTGAGAGAACTATGTGTACATACAACAGAGGCAAGCACTCCAGCTCAGCAAGCATGGAAGTGCAAATACAAAGAAGTAAACCACCAAGATTCATACTTGACACAAGTACTTAAGATAATAGTATCAGTGGACTATTTGAGCTGTCTTCTTTCCCTCTCAGCACCAGGACCACCTGGGAAAAGGAAGAAATAGGGGTTACAGGTAACCTTATGAAATCTGTAGAAGTCCTGTGGAATAGTCTGTAAAGAGCAAACCCAGAACTTGTCAAAGGGTCAAACACACAAAAAAAAATATTTCAGCTGAACGTCCAGTTCTCATGGCATCAAAGTAGGTCCATTGATATTTACTAAGTCTCTTGCTGCTATCAGGCAAAACATAATTTGCAGTCGTATCTTGTGTGACACACTCCTTTGGAAAGGTTGTTTGGCAAAGCTGGTATTTTTCCAAGAGGTTGGTGTTCAGTTACCGCTTCTGCCTAAAGCACCTTAAAGGAGCTCTGTTTTCCTGGCTGTGCAACTAGTCCAAGATCTTCCCAAGCTATACAGCATGGCATCGCAACAGTTAAGTATGCTTACAAGCATAAGAAAAGCAGGGAATGTAAGAATTAGGAGCAGCACTTGTAGGCCAAGCTTGCTGGTTAGTTTACTAAACACTTCGGAGTAACACAGGTGTGCAAATGAGTTTTACAGGCGGAATTTCACTCCATTGTTCCATCAGTAGCAGGAAAACAGGATTTATTTCTACTCCAAGCACTGTGATACAAGGAGAATAAAGGCAGAGAAAAGAGATTTTACTTTTACATAACACCTACATTTGGGATACATCCTTGAATGAACTCTGATGCACATAACACGGAGACTATTCTTCTTAGAAAAAAAAAAAAAAAGGAAAAAAAGAAAAAGCAACAGAAAGATGCTCTTCATTCGTTACAGAATTTCAGTTGAACTGATTTCATGAAGATTACAGTGCATGCTGGGATCTGCTGCTATTTCATGACCAGCTTTGTGTAAATAAGGAGGAACACACAGCACAGACTTGTCTTTGAAGAAACTGACCACAAGGAAAAAAAATACACAAAACCTTATTTCTAACATATGCCTTTCCTAACTTT